AAAAAAAAAACAAAAAAAGAAAAAAGCGCAGGTTCCAACGTGCTCACTACCATTCTATCTGCCCTTCACAGGAGAACTTAGGCCAGTATTTCCCAAATTGCTCGGTGAAGCAGAACTTCTGAACTTTTTTATAAGCCAATATCATGCTGATACCAAAACAGACAGATACAACAAGAAAAAGAAAATTATAGACTGATGAACACAGATGCAAAAGCTCTCAACAAAACACTAGCAAACAATTAAAGATCACATCAAAAGAAATCATTCACCACAATCAAGTTGACATCGTTAAAGAAATGATTCAACATATAAAAACCAATAAATGTAATTCGTCATACAAGTAGACTCAAGTACAGAAACAAAAGAGATTTAGAAAGGGTCTTTGACAAAACCCATGAAAAAGTTAGCTAGAGAATCTAGGGATACAGCGGACATAATTCTCAACATAATGAGGTCAATATACAAGAACCCTACAACCCTAATCATGCTAAAGGCAGAAAAACTTGAACTCTTTTTTACCAAGAAAAGGAACAAGACTTTTTCTATTCCTGTTCAATATAGTGCTTGAAGTCTTAGAACAGTAAGACAAGAAATGAAATACATATTTGCAGATGAAATAATTTTAATAAGAGATGCTATCCACTCCAACCAAAGACTAGAGCAAATAAACACTTTCAAAGTGTCAGGTTACAAAATTAACATATGAAAAAGCAGAAGCTCCTATATACAATGACAAGCAGAGCAAGTGAGGGGTACAGTCCCATTCAGAGGACACACGCACACGCGCACACACACACACACACACACATACTCCAACCAGACACACATTCACCATGTTAGTTGGAATATATGTAACCAAGGAAACAAAAAACCTCTATAAAGACACTGAAGAAACTAGGGAAGAGATGGATTGGAAGAACTGATATTGTCAAAATGGTCAAAATGGCCATCTTACAAAAAGGAACATACAGATGTGTGCTGGCTAGTCTCATGTCAACTTGAAAAACTAGAGTTATCTGAAAGATGGAAACCTTAATTGAGAAAATGCCTCCATAAGATCCAGTTGTAAGGCATTTCTTAATTAGTGACTAATAGGGGAAAGCCCAGCCCACTTGGGCTGAAGGTCCTGGGTTCTAGAAGATAAATAGGCTGAGCCAGGCAGCGGTGGTGCACACCTTTAATCTCAGCACTCTGCAGGCAGAGGCAGGCAGATCTCTGAGTTTGAGGGCAGCCTCATCTACAGAGCAAGTTCCAGGACAGCCAAAGCTACACAAAGAAACCTTGTCTCAAAAAAACGAGAGAGAGAGAGAGAGAGAGAGAGAGAGAGAGAGAGAGAGAGAGAGAGAGAGAGAGAGGGAAGGCAAAGCAAGCCAGTAAGCAGCACCTCTCCATGGCTTTTGCATCAACTCATGCCTCCAGGTTCTTACTCTGTATGAATTCCTGTCCTGACTTCCTTCAGTGATGAACAGATGTGGAAGTGTAAGCCAAAACCTTTCCTCCTCAACTTGCTTTTTGATCATGGTGTTTTATTGCAGCAACAGAAGCTCTACAGATGCCATACAATTTCAGTAAAAATTCTGGGACCATTCTTCAGAGATATAGAAAACAAATTTTTCAAAAATATTAAAATTAATATGAAAGCACAAAAGGCTAAAGATTGCCCAAACAACCCTGAACAAAAAAGAATCCTGTTAGTGGCATCACTATAACTGATTTCAAGTTATACTACAAAGTCATAGTAATAAAAATGGCATGGTACTGGCACAAAATCAGACATCTAGATGAATGGAATAGAGGATACAGATATGAATCCATGCATCTGCAGACACCTGGTTTCAACAATGATGCCAAAAAATACACATTAGAGAAAAGACAATCTCTTTAGCCAATGCTGCTGGGAAAACTGGATATTCACTTGTTGAAGAATGAAACTCAATCTTATTCATCCTGCACAAAAAGTAACTATAAATGAATCAAACACCTCAACAAAGAATCTGAAACTTTTGTAGAAACAAGTAGGGAATATGGAACCAGAGAGAAATGGTTCAGGGGTTAAGTCACTGCTCTACCAGAGGATCTGTGTTCAGTTCCCGGCACCCACAAAGCATCTCACAATCTGTAACTAAAGTTCTAGAGGATCTGATGCCTTCTCTTGGCTTTCATGGTACACAGACATACATGCAGGCAAAACATTTACAAACATAAAATAAACTAAATTTTTTAAAGTAGGGCGTATATGTTACCACATAGGCATAGGTAAGGAGGTTATGATAGAGCTGCAGTTGCATGAGAAATAAGACTAACAACAAATGAGACCTTGAGAAAATAAAAAGCTTCTGTATCACAAAGAAACAATCAACCAACCAATAGAAGAGCAGCCCACAGAATAAAGGGGAATTTCTGAGAACCACGTATTTGATAGAGGATTATTATACAGGATACACAAAGAGCAACAACAGAACACACCAAGGAAACATTTGGCAAAGGCTGACCACCTGTTATATGGAGGACTTTGCCTTTGGAAAGTCAACATACACATCTACTCACCCTAGATGGGGAATACACAACAGACCAAAGTATGGACACCACCAAAGCCCAACTTGGTGAACCAATGAGTTTTATTGAGGATATTTGCAGGAGTATGGGTATAGGGTAACTTATAGGGGCAGGAATGACTCAAAGACAGCTGCATCACCAAAGCCCACCCTAGCACGGATGGCAGCTCACAAAACCTGGAACACGATGCACAGCCTGCAGGCAGCTCAACAGGTTGGACAGTGTCCTTTCCACGTGCCTCAGTTGGTCTAAACCTCTTCTAGGAAGATCTGATTTCTTCTTCCAAGCAACTGGTTTAGCCTCAGAAGTATCCTTTGCATCTTGGTTTATCTGAGATTAACTCTCCACAGTCTGTATTGTTTAATCTTGGAGGGAGGAACCTAGAGAATCTGGTCAGTTTCAGGGACTTCCTGTATTTTGACTTGTTTACCTTCTGTCTTAAAGCACTTACCTGCAGGATAAAATGTCTCAGTGAGAAAAGAAATTGCTACACACTACCCAAGTCCCATCCCCAAGGTCCACATAATGGAAGAACTGATTCATTGTCCTTTGACCTCTACATCTGCACCATGGTATGTGAGAACATGTGTGAGTACACAAATTAAAGAACCCATTTTTTTTTTGGCTTTATAAAAAAAAAATTTTTTTAGTTCAAATTAGGAACAAGCTTGCTTCACATGTCAATCCCTTCTCCCTCCCCAAAGAACCTATTTTTTTAAAATAAACTTTTATTGTCTGTGGGTGTTTTGCCTGTATTTGTGTTCACATACCACATGCATGCCTGTGGCCCACAGATCCTAGAGTTAGAGATGGTCAAGAGTTGCCATGTGGATGCTGCGAACTGAACTTGAGTCTTCTGGAACAGCAGATAGTGTTCTTAACTGCTGAGTCATTGCTCCAGCCCAACATCCTAACTTTAAAAAGTTGGTTATTGGCTGGGTGGTGGTGGTGGCTCACACCTTTAATCCCAACATTTGGGAAGCAGATGCAGATGGATTTGAGGCCAGCCTGGTCCACAAACTTGAGTTCCAGGCCAGCCAGGGCAAGAGAGAGGAAACCCTGTCTCTTTTTTTATTTAAGATTGAGGACCATCTAGTAGAATTTAAATAAAAATATAAGGACAGGCAAACTATAAATACCACAGCTGCCCAGAGCATGAGAATAGAGAAAATAAGCCAGCAATGGGGGGATGGGGGGTTTCGACGGGACAAGGGTCGGGGTTAGAGAATAAGGAAGCTCAAAGCATCAGGGATTTTAAAAGTTCTTAAGCTCTGGGCACAATCTGAAATAAAAAGAAAAAGGGTAATTATACCTTTCTGAGTTGGGACTTAAGGTAGAAAGACCGAACATTACTTCATGGTGGCTGGTAGGGACTACACCGTGGATCAGGAAATGTGGGAAGAACTATATTATTGTAGGTAACTCTGATGTCGTAGGTGTGTCTCATCCAAGTCCCTGCTTTATACAACTGCAATAATTTATAAGGGAGGAGACAGAGTTATCTCCATACAGACATAAAGACTGCTCAGAAGGTGCTTGCTGCCAAGCCTGGAAGCCCAGGTTTGATCCCCACCAGGTGGAAGGAGAGAATCGATGTCTGCAAGTTGTCTTCTGTCCTTCCCACTTATGCCAACACACAGAGATACAATTTTAATTGTCAAGAAAATTCTTAAGCCAGGCAGTGGTGGCACACCCCTTTAATCCCAACACTTGGGAGGCAGAGGCAGATGAGTTGGAAGCCAGCCTTGTCTATAGAGCGAGTTCTAGGGCAGCCAAGGCCACAAGGCTAGAGAGAGACCCACTATTGAAAAACAAACCAAAACACTATCTCCCTCATCTAATTTTCTTCATTCTTTAGAACTGAGATGGCTCGGTCATGGAGTGTATGGCTTTTCCAGATGACCCAAGTTTGGATGGCATCATCTGACAGCCCATGATCACCTTGTGAACAGAGGTTTTTCTGTCCCACCCCATCCCACAGCAGCCTCTAAATAATCACTCAGAGGCTTAATATTAATTACAAACTTCTTGGCCTATAGTTTAGGCTTATTACCAACTAGCTCTTACATTTAAATTAACACATTTTTATTTATCTATATATTGCCACGTGGCATGGCTTTTGCAAGTCTGCTGACATCTTGTTTCTAGGGAGGCTGGCTGGCATCACTCCTACTCTGCCCCTCCTCATCTGAGTTCTCAGTTTGATTGTTCCACCTAACTTTATCCTGCCTAGCTACTGGCCAAACAGTTTTTATTATTAACCAGTGAGAGGAATACTTATTCACAGCATACAGAAAGATCATCCTACAACACATCTCTAACTCCAGCTCCAGAGGAACTGACACCCACTTCTGGCTTCCACAGGTACCTGCACACATGTGGCACCTATTCACATAAGCACATACATATAATGTCAATCTTAAAAAATAAGTAAACATGCCCAGATGAAGAAAAATTCTTTTATTAAAGATTTTATCTTTCATTACATATATTTATGTGCATGTGCCTGTTAAGGACAGAGGGCACTGCATCCCCTGGAACTAGAGTTACACGTGGGTGTTTGGAAGAGCCATACTTTCTTAACAGATGAACCATCTCTTCAGTCACAAAGGAAGAAATTCTTCCCAATTTTTTATGCTTAGAGAAGAAGCACTGTACGAAAATGAGTACTTTATATTTCTTTTTAATAAAAAACAAACTTGTGCCACAGCTCTAATGTATGGCCCACAATCAGTCTTTCCGCAGGGGAACAGTCTCCTCCCTGATACCCTCTTTGGTCACGATGCAGATCCTGAGGGCATCGCCAGTGTACACGTCCCTCTCAGCTGCAGAAATAAAGACATCTTTCACCAGCCTCATGGCTCTGTCCAAAGACAGGGGAACATGCTCCACATTCTGCATATTTTTGAAACCAACCTGGGAAGACAAAAACTCATATAAAGCATCTTGTGAACCCAAAACACACAAGATGATCCCATGTCCCAGGATCTATACTGAATGTATCAGGTCACATTAGCATGAGTTCAGACTAAGGATATTCTAGTCCCAGCTTAAACACAACTCAATTATGGCAAAGCTCCCAACTTCTCAAAATCACAAACATATTCAGGTAGACATAAACACTGTTTTAAAAAAAAAAAAGTCAGAATAAGGGGGAAGGGAGCTATGACAGTCCCAGATGGCCATTAATGAGTTTGGTAACAGGTAGTTTCATCAGAAGAACTTGGGCAGGGTATCTGGGAAGGGATGACCTCAGCTGAGAAGGTGCCCCTATCAGTCTGGCCTATAGGCAAGTCTGTGGGACATTTTCTAGATTAATGATTGATGTGGGAGGACCCAGCCCACTGTGGGCTGGTAGTCCCAGGCTGTATAAACTGGTTGAACAAGCCATGGGGAACAATCCAGTAAGCAACATTCCTCCATAGCCTTTGCTTCAGTTCTTGCCTCCAGGTTCTTGCCCCAACTTCCTTCCATTATAGAGCACAAGTTGTAAAGCTGAAATAAACCCTTTCCTCACCAAGTTGCTTTTAGTCATGGTATTTTATAATGGCAGTAGAAACAAAACAAGAAGGCACTGAAATTGAATAGCATCAAATATTCCTGACTAAAGTGTGGGATCAGATAGGAGGCATTATTTCAGGAAAAAGCACAGGCTGGGTGTGGTATAGGTGAGATAGACAAACAGCACAGGGCAAGGTACAGGAGTCATGAGCAGTATGAATTAGATAATTAGGTTAGAGGATGAAAGAATTATAAGATAACCTAATAAAAGCAGGTCTGGATCGAGGCGGTATAAAGCTAAAAGTATAGGTGGGAGATAGATTACAGTCCAGAAAATATAAGGGTAATAAAGGAGGCATTTATGTGATGTCAGGTAAAGACAGCATGGAAAAAACCCAAGACATGACATGACTGCACAGAAAGAGTCTACAAAGCCATGGGGCAGGTGAAGATGACAGGGCACTAGCAAAACAGAGGGAAAAAAAAAAAAATGGTTTGTGGGGGAAACCAGCCAAGAAGACCTTAGCAGCATTGTCAGGACAATGAAAAACCTGGAGTCTACCATAGCTGCCTTCGAAGCCAGAGGCAGAGAAACAGCGTATTACCTGGTTGTCAAGCAGAGGCTGTAGCATGGCACTTGCCGAGCCTCCAGCCTTGAAGGAGTCTCTCTGGTAGGAGCCCACTGGATCAAAGCTATACACAGCTCCCTTTCCTTAAAGAAGAAACAGTACACACAACAGTGTGAGACGTAGTCAAAACACGACACAAGATGCTATCAACTTGGCTACATTTTTGGCAAAGGTCAGAATATGTTTACTGTTGTGCAGTGGACCCCAGCAGACTATTCTTTGTGGAATGGATGGGGTCAGAGATAAGAGGTTCACATCTTGATGTCCCAACACTGTGGCCAACTTGCCTAGAAATAATGTCACTAGCAACCATCTGATGGCCCTGGACAAGCAGGCCACTCAGACACATTGGGTAATGATCAAAATCTTCTTACTATTTCTAACAAATAAGCTTGTGTAGTTTCAGTATAGACCCAATAATTTAAATTTTTCTTAGAGCTAAATGTAAATAAAAATATCTAAAATTTATTGTGTATATCCTTTTAATTATCAAGTAAACATACTCTTTAACAATACACTGTAAAACCATGTGTACTGGCTAGTTTTATCAACTTGACACAAGCTAGAGTCAAGAGAGGAGGGAAACTCAATGAGAAAACACCTTCCATAAGACTGGGCTACAGGCAAGTCTGTAGGGCATTTTCTTAATAAGTGACTGATGCAAGAGGGTGCAGCCCACTGTGGGTAGTGCCATCCCTGGGCTGGTGGTCCTGGGTTGTTTAAGAAAACAGGATGAGCAAGTTATGGTGAATAAGCTAGTAAGCAGCACACCTCCATGTCTCTGTATCAGCTCTTGCCTCCAGGTTCCTGCTCTGTTTGAGTTCTGTCCTGACTTCCTTCAATAATGAAGTTTTAAACTAAATAAACCCTTTCCTACCAACTTGCTTTTTTCACTGAAGTAATAGAAACAGTAAGACACCATGTTTTAGGATAAAGCAGGAGGATAGTAAATCCATCACCAGCAGAAAACCCAATTTAATGATAACATTTATTTAATATTTAATAAACAAAGGGGTTTCAGCAAAGCATAAAATGTTACCAGTAAGAGCTTTATTTTTCCCAAAATGTTACAGCTTGCTTTAAATTACTGGAATGATAAGGAATAACTTTAAAAAAAAAGAAATTATTTTTAATTTATGTATCTGAGTGAATGTTCATATCATATGTTAAGTGTGTGTGGAAGCCAAGAGTTTCCTTGGGGCTAGGGTCACAAGCAACTCTAAGCTGGCCAATGTGTGTATTCTAAATGCTAAAACAGCTCTCCAGCCCAAGCAACCCCCCTCCAAGAGAAACACATTCAACACCTGAGCTATTGAACAAATATTTATAATTAATATTAAGCCTCTAAGTGGTTACTTGGAAGCACCTTATAAAACAGGAACTTCTGCATACAAGAAACCAGTGACCCTTGCAGACGCCACTGAAATCAAATTACATCTTTTGGAAAAGCAATTTGCATCAGTATCTGTCCAATGCAAAGAAGCCCATGACACAAGAATAATTTCATGTGCAGAACAAGATTTATCCTAAAAAAATTTGCAAATATATGTTTCTTCATATGTGTAAGAAACAGGCAGCCTGATAAGAACATTTTCCCTGAATTGTCACATTCACACCCACTAGCAAACTGTGTTAGAGAGTGAGACTGAGTTCCCACCAATGGGACAAGGGCAGTCACAAGGGATGAAAGCCAGAGCCACGCTGGCTCTGCTGTGTTGCTAGCCTGGTTTGGGTTCTGGTGTATCTTTTGCAAATAGAATTGCCTTGGTAAGATACCTTGACCTGTGTTTCTTTCTGAAACACTGAAATTATTCATTGTTTGTTTCTAACATAATGTAGTTTTTTGCAATATTCAAAATAGCCAAAAATTACAAGTTATTAAAAAGGTAGCATTCACTCACAACAGAACAGCATTGCTTAAAAACTAAAGAAAGAAAAAAAAAAAGCCAGGCAAAGGCAGATGGATCTTTGTGAGTTTGAGGCCAGCCTGGTCTACAGAGTGAGTTCCAGGAGAGTCAGAGCTGTTACACAAAGAAACCCTGTGGGGGAGGGGGAGGAATTAAAGAAAGCAACTCTTACAGCTAGTCTGCTCCACCTGTTGTAACTTGTCTGGTCAGGCGGCTGGTTTAGTTATTGAACAGGTTAATGTACTCAACCTCCTCAGAGTGTTTACAATGAGCTAACATGTTGGTGAGACTGGGGTTAGGACCAAAAAGATAGATCAGGGGGTAATGGCACTTTCTGCAAAGCTTGACTTGAATTTGAGCCCCAGACCCTACTTGGTGGTAGGAAAGAAACAACTCTGAAAAGCTGTCCTGACTTTCACAGAAAGGGGTCATCCCTAGTTAACATTCGAGTGTTCCTTGCATGTACAACGTTACCTGTAGCTGGCTACCTTTGAGGAAAACTAAAAGGTACCATATGCTTATGTGCTGCTTGAGTTTGTATCAAAGAACACATCACTACAATTTTAGAAAAGGTCTTTAAAAAATATGAATGATTTGCCTGTATATCTGGAAGTACATGACATGTGTGCATGCCCAAAGAGGCCACAAGAGGGCACAGGTTTCCCTTGGAACTGATGTTACAGACCCTTGTGAGGTGTCATATGGGTGTTAAGAACTGAACCTGGATCTTCTGAAAGAACAGCAAGTGCTCTTAACTGCTAAGCCATCTCTCCAGCCCCTAGAAGTCTTTTAAAAAACAACCAAGGAGCTAGTTAGTTGAGAAGCTAAGGTAGGAGGATAACAGCAAACTTAATGCCAACCTGAGCTACAGACTGAGAGAGACCACCTCAAAAAGCAACAAACCCCCCAAACCACAACAAATCATGATCATTCACAAGGGCTGACTTAAACAAATGGTAATCCTGGGGACAAGATCCTGGTGAAACCAGAGACAACCAGAGAAGCAGGCCTCCAGCTTCACTAGCCCCAGAGGTCCTCAGAACAGAGGCCATAGGGAACAACTTCTCCACTCTCCCTCCCACCGCATAGCACCATGGGGAACCAGAGGGATTTAAGGATTTCACCTTTCAGCTCAGCAGAGATGTGGCAAGTATAATTTTATCTTTTTTCCTATTATTTAATTTCTAACCTAGTATATGCTTCACAATGGTTTTGCTTTTGTTTGTACCTGTTAGGTTTTTTGTTTTGTTTTGTTTTGTTGGTATTTCAATACAGAGTTTCTCTGTGTAGCCCTGGTGGTCCTGGAACTCCTTCTGTAGACCAGGCTGGTCTTGAACTCAGAGATCGCCTGTCTCTGCCTCCCAAGTACTCGGATAAAGGCTTGTTACACCACTGGCTGGCTGGCTGTAAGTTAGGTTTTAAGACTTGGTTTTGGTAGCCCAGTTTACAAAGGCAATTTTTTAGTCTTTAGTCACAACTCATATACCCTTCCCCTTTACTCCTACATCTTCTCATCCTGGATATTTTCTCTCTCTCTCTTTTTTTTTCTTTTAAAGATTTTATTTATTCATTATGTATACAACATTCTGCTTATTCTGGTGTATATCCGCACACCAGAAGAGGGCACCAGATTTCATAATGGATGGCTGTAAGCCACCATGTGGTTGCTGGGAATTGAACTCAGGACCTCTGGAAGAGCAGCTGGTGCTCTTAACCTCTGAGCCATCTCTCCAGCCCCTTCTCTTTTTATTTAATCATAAATTCCCATAACTTAGACAATCTCTCTAAACTCTGTAGACTTTAACAGTATCTTGCTTTCCCCTCCTAGCTAGTTCACCCATTTTTTTCTTTTCAAAGTTGACCTAATACTTAGTCCTTATCCTTACCTACTCTAATTCCAGCCCACTCCTAATCTTAACTAAAATCCAACAAATATGCTGTCTTCTACCCTTGGTTATTTATCCTACAACAGTTATTGAAGTCTAAAAGGACACCATTATTAACTGGCAGGTAGGGCAACTATCAAGTAGCTGTGGTTTCTCTCCCAATTAATATCCTACTCTGGGAATGAGATGGAGCTTACATGAGGAACCCAGAGCTCCTGGAAGGAACTGTTTTCTAAATTATAAACTACCAAACCCAAGCCCCACCTAAACATTGCAACTATTTCAACTGATAAAATATAGTGGATAAACAAACAAACAAACAAACAAACAAAAATCACCAAAACATACCGGACATGCAAGTCAATGCAGCAACAAGAAACTAGAAAAACCAACACAACTCCAAAGAACTATTAACCCTACAGCAGTCACATCTAGTCTGAGTACATTAGAAGAAATCCCAAACAGAAAATTCAAAATAATGGGCATGTTCAAAGGTACAAACAGTTGGACAAAATAAGGAAGGAGTCCTGGTTACAGGCACAGCTCATCACTTGCTGCTCTAAGTTTGGTTTCCAACACCACATAGCTGGACTAGATGGCTCAACTCCAGGCAGAAGCATACACATTTATGAAATAAAACTTTTGCATTCTCCAAAAAGCAAGGTGCTACCTTCTTCATCAAGTCCACCGATGATATTGTAAACATAGTAAGGGAAGAAACGCCGTGAGTACAGGATGGTAGAGAGCATTGCAGCAATCGCCCCGGTTGTCATGGCCTTGTTATTGGAATGCTTGTACATCTTCATGGTTTGGAAAATCAAAAAACAAAAACAGCAAAGTAAGAGTCAGAACCTGTCAAACTTCAGTGACAACCAGTACATAGTATAGGTATTCCTTAGTCAAACACAAAAGCTTCTTTCTTTCATGACCAAGTAACACAATATCACTAACATAAAATGATACTTTGTTACATGTGTTTGAGGTGGTTATCATTATGTTGTCGAAGGACAGCAGTCTTGTTTCTCAAAGTGTCTACCTCAAGGAAAACAGTATCAAAAACATGACCATAGGGACTGGATAGATGACTCAGAAGAGTTAACAGCACTTGCTGCTCTTGCAAAGACCTGGGTTGGTGTCCCAGCACCTACTTGGCAGCTTAAGAACTGTTTACGGACGGTTCCGAGGGATCTGACACCATTTTTTACCTCCTTGAGTACCAGGCATGCTCATGGTGTACATATGTATGTGTAGACCAAACAGCCATACACACAAATAAATAAATAGTTAAAAAAAACCTTAGGGTGCTAATACAGGAATTTCATAATCCTGATATACTAAATCCTTATAAACTTTAAATCATCCACAAAAATTATAAACATAAAATGGATTTAAGTTCACAATTTTTGTTGTTGTTTTCCATATGGTTTCTCTTTATAACAGCCTTGGCTGTTCCAGAACCAGGCTGGCCTCAAACTCAGAGATCCATGTGTCTCTGTCTCTAAAGTGCTGGGATGAAAGGCATGTGCTGCCATGCCTGGCTGAGTTCACCAATTTTTGTTAGTCTCATAGCAAGCATTCTAAAGTAAACTAAGGTCAAAACACTGAACAATTACAAGTAAGCAATATAACAAAAAGCAGATAAATACCAGTGAATTTCTAAGATAAGTTATCATAAAATATGAATTAGAAAGCATGTATCTGCTAATATAAATTTCTGAAGCTTTCAATACTAGATTATACTAGATTTCTAAAACATATAGTAAAATAATGTCTACACAGCCACACAGCAAATGTAAGTTACATCAATGTTTCCTGACTGTGATGTATCTCAAATGACCCAAGTGGGGCAACAGAGACTGTGGTTACCCCGGCTAACCTGTTCCTATCACATCATCCCTTGGTGATTATCACTGAAACCTGTCAGATGATGGGCTGCCGCCCTTCATCAATGCTCCAGGGACTGACTACTTCTCCCTTTTGTGTTGTCTACTAGTGTGGAAAGGTGTGAAGGAAAGGTCAGCAGACACTTCCAAATCGTGTTCTTGTCTACAGGTTGCCTGAGCTATCTTCTGCCACCGTCAGACTTGATACACTTCAGAAGAAGAAGTTTCAGCAGAGCCCTCAGGCTGCTGCCAGAAGGTAAGCAACCCTGACAAGGCAGAGGTTTAAACACACTGATGTGCTGCAGTTTCCTGTTATTTGTGTGAATTCTGCAGCCAGTAGTGGGGCTACTTTATTTCTAGAATCTGCTAACTCCACCTAGTAACTTGCTAGTGCTCGCTCTTCTCTCTCCTTCCCTCCCTCCCTCCCCCCCTATAGACAGATAGATAGATAGATAGATAGATAGATATCTTTCTCTCTCAGCAGTCATTGAGGCTCAGAAGAATCTGATGAACTGTTTCAAGGGGGTAGACATATACAAAAGCACCTACCTTTAATCTTGCTTCAATAATCTTTGTCAGAGTGAGACAATCTCCATGAAAACCACTGCAGCCAATGACTGTTTTGTCTGTCCTGTAAAAAGCCAATTGCAGGAAAATTAGTTGATAAAGCAGGGCTCACAACTAGCCAGCCCTTTTGCAGCATGGGAGTCTACATACCAACATCTATCTCCTCACACCAAATCAATTTTAGGTGAGACAAAGATATACTATTAATAAGCTGAAGAAAATAAGGGTGACTATTTTACAATCTAGGGTTGGGAAAAGGTACAGCATGATGTAGCCCAAGAGTCACGGAAGTTTTATAAACCTGACTACTTCTACAGGAGAAAAAAAAAGCTAAAAATATTTGAACACATGACTAAAGTCTAATTCTAATCTCCTTATGGAAGAACTGTCAACGATATAGAATTAATTGGGTAGCTGGGAACTAGGAAGACAAGACAAACTTCACTGCTTCACATGCCTAGGACTCAAACATGGCAAGGCTGCCTTCCTTATTTTCTACTCCACATCACCTTAAACTTCTATGCAAAGAACCCAAGCCTTGTTGGGTACATTTCTACTTCAAGTTTAACAATTTTGTGATTAGCCATGCACCTTCCCAACTGCCACCACAAAGGCAGTGAAATATGTCTTTAGAAATATTTACTTAGGGGCTAGAGAGATGCTCAATGGATGATTAAGAGCACTGGCTGCTCTTCTAGAGGGCCTGGGTGGGTTAAATTCACAGTATCCACATGGCAGCTAATAACCAACTATAATATAACTCCAGTTCTAGGGGATCTGACACCCTCCCTCTTCTAGCCTCTGTGGACACTGCACATACATGGTATACAGACAAAACAAATATACACATAAAATAAATCTTAAAAAGAAAGATTGATTGATTTACTTACAGTTTGTAACATTTGGGGCTGTCTCGGGTATGAATTGAAAACCCTTCACTCAACCGGGTATCTGAAGCAACAATGGAAAAATCTTCTCCAGCAATTGCCAATACAGTACTGATGAATATAAAAACGAAAAGAGAAAGAAAGGAAGGAAGAAAGAAAACAACATTAATTCTTCAGGGTGCCAACTCTCTTCAAATAGGAATATGCTCCACAGAACCTACCTGGGTAAATCTACCAGCTGTAAGAGTAGAATTCAAATGAAAGATAGAAGACTAGAGGAAAGGATCGCTGGCTAAATATCATCTTGGGAAACTCCTAACCTAGATTCTAATGGCACTCCCCCCCATTAAGTAGTTACAAGCCTGAGGGCAAGTTAACTTCTGAAGGCCTTGATTTTTCTCAAAAATGCAACACAAAATATAAAATGGGACATAAATGCTGTTCTAGTACATCCTTGGGAAGAGGTAATAAGAAAGACACTGAACCATACCTTCATCATTAAAGAACAAAAATACTCGTGTGTAGAAAGCACCGCTGTTGAGTTCAGAAAAGGACTATCTCTATTTCTTTATATGAGAGCTGTTAGACAATGTCTAAATGAACAGTCAGTATTCTAGAGCAGTTTCCTCTGAATTTGAACACCCCTTGTAGGGGTAGGAGACTCATGAGTCATAAGGTGAATACTTGAGGTAAGATTCCTGGAGCCCCCAACCCCCAGCTTTGTGCACATTGAATTCCAGCATCTGAGAGGGAAAGGCAGGCTGTATGAGTTCTAGGCCAGTTAGGGTTACATAGTGAGACTCTGTCTAAACTGTTGGGGGAGGAGGCTCTGACCAGCTAAGTTGTAAGAGATTTTCCAGCTTGTGAGCTACATACAAGTACAGAAATCCACAGTCATGGCTTTTAAGTTATCAACTGTGTTGGGGCCAACTGTTCTATGATACAGTTGATTCTGGGTCGTCCTTGCTTCTTGAAGTACCTCCTTACCCATACTCCTGTTATAGTAACCCCAATAAAAACTCACTGGTTCTCTAAGTTAAACTTCAGTCAGTCATGGAGCAGGTTTTTGTGTGTGTAATGTCTTCCCGGGAAAAGTCTGTCGTACCACAGTCAAAAACCAAGCTTTTCCTTTTCTTGCTATATGGTTTCTGATGCCTTACTAAAGAACCCCAGAGCAAAACCATAAAAGGAGAACCTAGATCCTAATGTTGTTTTCCCAAGCAAGTTACTAACAGTAACTATCTCATATTGTGGTGCTGTAAGGATAAAATGAGCTGACAACTATAAAGTCCACCTGACACTTGACTGCTGCATGACTGGTCTAGTAAGTGAACAACCATCACTGTGGCATATGGTGGGGCTGTACTGTATGACTAAGCACCTGAGCACTGTTACTTAAGGGAGAGGCCTATTCATGCCACTTAATAGCTGTAAGACTTTGGATAAATTCTTCATGATGGTAATGACAGTACCTGTTGTGTTACATAATTCACATTAAAGTACCTACAATAGTTAACCTTCTAGGAAATAAACACCCAGGAAACATTACCCAGTATTTTACAGAAACCAGTTCTGTACTAAAGCAGAGAGGATGACATTCCACAAACCATGAACAGCAACAGAAGGTAAAAAGACATTACAAGCAACTTAATTGAGGTGATCCTTTGTGTAACTAGAAACATACACACTGTGATGAACTGTTGTAGAAGATCCCAAGTGCCAAGCTAAATTTTACAATTTTAGCAAGGAGTCCCAAAGCTTATACAATCAAGAATGAGAAAAGTTCCATTTGAAACAGGTTTTCAGACAATTCTGGCAATAATACAGTATATGAAATGGGATAGCAATACTGTTCCAGTCAGAGTGATGAGATAGGAAGCAGGATGAAGAGGGAGAAAAAGGAAAACACATCGGCAACGTATGCAACTGAGTTTTTATAACTACCTAAATATGTTTTGTGGGAAAAACAGCTAAAACATCCCAAGATAGGCAGAGTGATGACATAATCACAAGGGGCACTTTTTAAGGAGCAGAAGTGACTGAAAGGGAATAACCACCCTGCTTGTTTTTATACTAACATGAGTTACGGTGAAAACAGAAAATGCACTTTAGAAATGTTTTCCCAAAGAAGTCAAAATGTAGGGGCCTTTGAGAAATAAGGTTACAGAAATGGATTTTGGAATTATGTTCCCAGGGATTAGGCATGTAAAGGTCTTCAGTAACAATATCTGGAAGCTACAAAGAGAAATTAACACCATCTTTTGAACCAGAGGCTGCTTGTCCGGCTAGTTGCAAAAATTCTAAAAGGAAGGGGGGCGGGGTAATAGAACTGTAAGTAACTGTTTGGAAAGTAACAGATGAAGAGGAACTACAGGAGGTTAAAAGGTAAATAGTGAGTATTGCACTCAGAACACTATTAACAAGCCTTACAATGTAAGTACTTAGTGTTCACATGCAGAGTTAAGACCAACACTGGAAAACGAAAGTTAAGAATTTAAAACTGGTTCTAATTCGAACAAGCTCTTAGACAAAGCTGTTTAAATGCCAAGAGCCAAGGACTAACACTATGAAATATTCCCTTAACTGCTTGCAGCCAGCTTACAAAAATGTAACCACCTTGAGTCTCTTTCAACATATTATTTCAAGAAACTGAAAGGAACCCACATAGCACACACTCACATTTGTTCTTCAAAAGCCACAACCAAGGCTAAAATTAGTATTTCACTGCCTATATAGTGTATTTTCAGCATCCATAAAGACATAATTAATCTTTTTTCTTTTCTTTTTTTCTTGAAACAGGTTTCTCCTTATAGCCCTGGAACTGGCTCTGCAGACCAGACTGGCCTTTGCCTCCCGAGTGCTGGGATTATCCCAACTGTTTTTCGTTTCTGTCTCCTCCTCTTTCTTCTTCTTCGTTTTGTTTTGTTTTTCGAGACAGGGTTTCTCTGTGTAGCCCTGGCTGTCCTGGAACTCACTCTGTAGACCAGGCTAGCTTCGACTCACAGATATCCATACCTGCCTCTGCCTCTGGGATTAAAGGCATGCGCCACCACCACTGCCTGAATGTTTTTCTTAACAAGCCACATTTTTTTGATAATTGGTTGTTTATAGGTATAAAATTGATGAAAACTACCTATATTGCCAAAGGTCCTAAATTCGAGGTGAAGACATCCCTTCGAACAAAGCGGATAATTTAAAGGCGCAAGCAATTTCAGAGTAAGAACACGAACACGAACACGAACGAACACACACACACACACACACACACACACACACACACACACAGGCAACCGTCTAAGGCCGGGGACACAGCTCAGCAGAACACGCGCGCACACACACACACACACACTCACACATAGGCAACCGTCTAAGGCCGGGGACACAGCTCAGCAGAACCTGCCCAGCAGGCCAAGTCGCAGAGTAGAACAAAACAACCCCTATTTCATCCCTGAACTTAAACCAAACGAGCATTAAGAGAAAAAAAAAAAAAAAACAGTGATCTACAAAGCCACCAGGACAAATCAGTGCTGAGGACAGGGCCCCCCTCGCCCGTTGGCTGTGGGGACGTGTTCAAGCCCCAAGAGACGACAGTGTTAGGAGCAGAGGGCTAGGGTGGGCGCCTGCCCTGAGGAATGCGGGAAGCATGCGATCCCGAAGGCGTCCGTGCAGGGCTCCGGGAGCCGGGCTGCGGAGCGCCCCGACAGGCTGCATCCCCACAGCCGCCCGCCCGCCCCAGGTGAGCCCAGCTTTTACCCTCCGTTGAAGGCATACGGCGAGAAACGCATCTGCACAGGGACGGCGGAGCCGTGAGGCCCCATGCCCAGCTCCCGCTCGGGGTTCCCGAAAGCAGCCGTGGAGAGCATCACACCGCGCTCCTGCTGTCTCACAGCAAAATGGCCGCCGGGACAGGTCCACTTCCGACCCGACCCGCCCCTCCCACCGGGCTCCTCTAGCCCGCACTCGTCGTTGCTCTTGGAGGTCTGTGCCTATGCCCCGCTACATATCCAGCTTGGGGTCCACCAATTAATTCCAGGAGACCTGTTTTCCAACCCCAAGAAAACATTCGATTCACTCATGGCCATACCAAAAACAAACAAAAAAACAAAAACTAGTTGCAGAGCAATGACAGCTCCGATTGTCACATTGGTGAAGTGGCATTTGAGGAGTTGCAGCTCCTGCTATGTTCAAGTCCTAGTGGTCAAGATGCATGGTCAGCTGTGTGGTATACGCAGCCACGCGATCCAGGAAGCGATACTAGGTTTCGCCAGCCAGAGCCTGATGGATCGTATTAACTTGACAGAATCTAGAATCACCTAGTAAAACCTCGCGGGCATGCTTATGCAGGTGATTTCAGGACAGTGTAGCTGAGAAGGGAAAACCCACCCTAAATATAGGTGGCACCATCCCATTGCCTGGCTTTCTGAACAAAAAGGAGGGGGAAAAAAAGAAAGAAAGCAAACTAACATTCATCTCCTTAGACTTCCGGTCTGCGGATGCAGTGTGACTCCCCCCTTCTCCAGACGTCAGGCTTCCCCATGGTGGACTGTACCCCTCAAGCCGTATGCCAAAAGGAACCTCCTTCTCTTAAGTTGCCTCTTGTCAGGCCTTTGTTAAGTTTTCTTAATGTCTTAAGGTTCACTATTCTTCCAAGAGAGAATGTTTCATTTAGAAGAAAATAGGTAACCAATACTATTGTACTTATTAGAATCCATGCAGAGGTCAACACCCTAGGCACATAACACACACAGGTAATATCCATCTCTCACACACACCCCTAACCTAAAGGAGCTTATCACCTCGTTGATAGTGCTAAATCCAAGGGAAAGGGAATAAGCAGAACTTCCTTTCTGCCTAGGTGAACCATATCAAGAAGAAATCAAGATACGCTGGAATTCAATCAAACGTTAAGAAGCAACCTAAGAGACAACTGCTGTTTTCTTGGAACAGCCCAGAAGTCAGCTGTTCGTCGCTGAGCTAAAATGTAAATGAATTTGTGACTCCACCTCCCCTGTGTCGTTGTCGTTCTTCAGATACCAGTTAACTTTCACTGAGGGTATGCTATTCGTGTCATTGAAATCACAAATTTCTAGGAGGCAGCTGCTACTACCATTCAGCTTTATGGCGTTAAGTGGAGGATGTAGGGAGCTTGCCGAGGGTAACACTGTAAGTGCAAAATCCTATTCGACTGGCAGGGCGTGGTAGCCTACGCCCTTAATCCCCTCGCTCCGGCGGCAGAGGCAGGAGGATCTGAGTTCGAGGCCAGCCTGATCTACAGAACGAGTCCCAGGACAGCCAAGGCTACACAGAGAAACCCTTTTTCAAAACAACAACACCCATGGGAGGCCAAGGATGTAGCTCATTGACAGATCGCTTGCTTGAGTTTCACCCCTATCGTACATCCCCAACAGTCACCTCTGCACCCTCCAAGTTTGCAGCCTCTAACGAGAACCGGTCGGGAAGAGTTGTCCAGGGGGCCCCGCCCCAGCCCCATCCTCGCCCCGGAACTTCTGGGGAGCCCCGCCCCCTCATTTCCTTAGCCAGGGATCCGCCGCCCGTGCCGGGCTTCAGTCAAAAAGCGCAACTGCCGGAAGTGACGGCATCAGATGTGCGTCGGGCCTC